TCGCTGCCCAGGCAGGTCTCGAACCTGCGGGCTCAGGCAATCCACTCACCTCAGCCTCCCAAAGGCGCGGGATTACAGGCTGAGCCACCCACCCCGGCTGGGTGTACATTTTTAGTTAGTCCTGGCTTCCACCCCCAGCTTCAGGTAAGCATTGATCTACTTCCTGTCTCTATAGGTTTGCCTTTTTTTGATATTTCACATAAGGAGAGTCAACCTATCTACTTCTTTATCCATTCCTTCTCTTTCTTCCTAATTCATTTCTCTTTTTTGTTCCTAAGTATGGTGGGTCACAGAGTTCTTGCCTGTGCCCTCTGTTTTGCAAACAGTACCTACTTTGTCACATTGGTTTCAGTTCACCAATAACTCAAGAGTGGTTCCTCAGCCCCAACTTGCCTGAACTTCAGACCAAATACTTTCAATTACCTGTCTATCCTGTGGGATACTCAAACTCAACAAAACACAACTGGTGCTTTTTTTTCTCAAACATGTTTTTCCGTCTGTAGTTTGGCATTGGGCTAATGACTCCACCATCCTCTCGTTGGAGAAGCTTCAATGTCTTTCAGTTGGTCTCTCAATGAGCTCTTATTTTGCACCAGGCTCTTCATTCCTGATTCTGTTTAATCCTTACAACACCGCTATATTTTAGTTAATATTATCCCCATTTTACAAATGAGGAAAACTGAGACTCTAAGATGTGACGTATGCAAAATCAAGCAACTAGTAAACACCAATCCCCAGTCCTCCTCTGCCTTTTCCTTTTGTTTTTCCTAAAGGAAAGGCCATGCTATCATGTGTCTGTTGATTGAGCCAATCTAAAAGATTGCTGAACTCCTGCCCTTTGCTTCTATTTGCACCATCACTTCCTCAGTTCAGGTTCTCAACACCTCTTACCCAGCTTAATGAAGTCTTCTTCTGCCTGCTCAGTCTGCCTTCTGTAATTCTCCTCTTTACTCTTTCCTTCTTTCTGTGGCAAAATAAGAAGAAAAAAAAAGTCATTCTAAAGCAAATTTGATCAGGTTACCTCTAAAATTCAGGTAGTTTGGTAAGTGTCATTAGTGAAACAAGTTGCAAATAACTTTTACCCAAAATGGATAAAATGTTAAAGTTCACCATTAATTCACTTAAATAAGCTAGTACAGATTCAAGGGAATTCCTACAATTTTAACTAGCTCATAAAGGATAAACTGGAGGAGAAAATTGAGGAAAGATGGCTCTGGCTGAGGGAACAAGCATCAGCAAAACATAGACGCATGAATAAATGGAATATGGAAATAAGGAGAGAACTTCTGTTTATGAGAGCTATTTACAGGCTCTCCTGTTAAGTTCATTTAAATGAAAAATAATGTTAAAATCTTTAAAATATAGTAACTAACCATTGCCTGAAATGTCTTACCCCGTTTAGATTGCTTTGGTAGTTATGAGCTCTTTGAGTCTTGTCCTATCAGCCATTAAGTATTATTGAAAATGCATAAAAACTTGTGTCAAATAATTTCTGCTATTTTTACATCACCCAATTACATGTTAATCTTTAGTTCTGCAGACACATTTGATTTTATATAAACTCTGCTCAAGAAGAGTGATTTAAAATAATCTAGTACTGATAATATTGGTTAGTAAATGAGAAAATATAGTTCCACGGAGTCAATGTAATGTACCTTAATAGAATTAGCTCACAAAGGCAGTTTCATATTAATACTTATACAGAAAATTAGTAATGATGTGTAGCCTTTTATCACTGATTAGAAGTTAATTGTGATTCACTAATTACTAATAATCTTTCACTGACATGTTTTTCACTGATTTGTATTCCCTGATTCTATATATATGTATCTTTCTTCTGAAATATAAAACTTATCTTTAAATGAAACCACACTGTCTTTGACATAAATTGTCCCAAATTGCAAAACATATCCATAAACATATAATTTATAAATATGATTTTGGCTAAAATAAGTAGTTCTTATGTATAATAAGCTTGTCAGCTCAATCTACTACCCAGTGGTAGTCCTGTCTGTCAACAACCTAAACAGAGTTTCATCCCTTTTCAGTAAATTGACAATATTCAGTATTTATTTAAAGAATCCTAAAAATGTAGTTTTAATTTAATTTTATATAGGCTTTTATTGGAATCTATTGTTCTTTTTTCGAAAATGTTTTTAAGTGTCCTTAACTCTCATTTATATTCTTTTTTAGGCAGAAGCACAGTATCAGAGCCTAAAGAAGTTTTATCATACTGAAATCCCTTGGAAGAAAGAGGATGATGCTAAAGCCACTTATTGTTCTGACTTGACTGAGAGGCAGCAGCAGCTATTTTTAAAGAAGAGTTTTTTAACCTACGACCTAGGACTTGAGTTCCTTAATTTAATAAATATGGTGAGAATGACATTAAATGAATCACACCTTCTGCAAGGATCCATGTCAAAGTCAAAATCATAAATTCAAAAGTTCACCTATTAATCAGCAGTGCTGGTCTCAGAAGTTCTTTTCAGCTTCATTCAACCTAGATCAGTCCTGAAGCCCAACATTAATATGCTTGCTTGGTCCTAGAGCCCTTGTTGGCTTATAACATGAAAGCTATTTTAATTATTAAGAGGGAAGAGTGACTGTAATCCAAATGCAGACTTGTTATTATTACATAGAGTCTTCAGAAGTTCACCCAAAAGTTCTGAGTTACATTGAGAGCATGCCACAAAGTCCTTCCAACATTTCCAGTGACTAAAGACAAATTCTAAGATGAATCTTTATTTTGAATGATTTCTTACTATAGCAGATTTTTAAATAGCAAAGGTTCATTGCATTTAGAAATAGATCCTAATTTTTAGTTGTCCTGAGTTATATCTATAAAATATTCTAGGAGCCTTATATCCACTTTATTTGTAATGCATATAAATCTCCTTATAGAATTCCTAAAAGATGGAAAGATGGTTAATCTACCTCTTTTAATACCTCACGTATCTTCCTAGTGATACTGCTCATTTTATTGTTGGAAAATGCCAGCAAACTTTTTTTAATGTTACATAAATCTGTCTTTAAAAAAAAAAATCTGGTCCTAACCCTCTGTAGCTACATAGACAAAAGTATTTATATTTATATTTACAAACGAAAATCCTCTAAACATTGAAAACAGTTATTATGGCTAACCTCACTTTTCCCTGCAGTGTGACACACACAAATCCTTGCTATCATTTCTCTCTCCATCCTGATCCCCCCTTCCCGGGATTTTCCATGGTTTGTCAAAATCCTTCATGCTTTGTAACCAAAGAATGAAATGCAACTGCAGCACAGAGTACAACAAACTGAACATTATTCTTTCCTAATAAGACCTAAGATTATGCTAACATTTTTAGCAATAATGTCCCTTTGCTGGTTCACATTAAGCTTGATAGAGTAAAACTGTCATAACATTTTTTATTGCAGCTTCTTCCAAACCAGATCTCTCCCATATTATATTTGTGTCAGTCATTTGTCTTTTTCATACAAATGTGGGCCTTTATATGTGTTCTTACTTAATTTCATTTTGTTTGTCTTCACCATGATTCCATCTCGTTAAACTAATTTGAATCTATCTAAGATATCAGCCATCTCTCCTGGGATCAGTTTCATGGATGTGACAAGTAAGTCTTCTATGACTGCAATTAGTTCATTAATAAAAATGCCAAAAGGTCCGATTGACATCCCGATTCATGAGGCAATCTCTTGACTCAACCAGTTTTGGTTTTTTAAACAATCATGAATGTTCCCAATAGCTCTTTAATTAAACCATTACTTTATAATTTTTTGTTAAGTCTATCACGGAAGACTTTCTCAAATAAATTGCTCAAAAGAAGGTTTATATACCTAGTATCCTATCAAGGATATAAACATTATTTGACATAAATAAGGCTGACTCTTAGTGATCAAAGCATACTTTCCAAAAAACTCACAAAATTCTTGATAAGTGACAAACTTACTGCACTGATTTTCAATGTGAAGTTTACCAGCATGTAAGTTGTATAATCCATCTTTTCCCCTCTTTGAAAATCAGGACATTTTTCTTTCTCTGATTTTATGACCCTTCTAGTTTCTGTAGATTTTCAAAGATAACTGACATTTGCAATTTTCTCAGTACCTAGGATATGATTAATATCAGTCTGAAGCCTGAATTCATTTAGAAGGGTTAGGTTCTAACTACCCTCATTTACTTTGAGCTACAATTTTCTTTTTATCATTTTTGTTTCAACTCTTGTTGTTTGAAGATCATTCTTCAAACCTATGTGGAAATAAAATGTGTATTACATGGTTCTAATTTATCTAACACTATCCTTAATTATCAGAGAAAACTTGCTAACCAATTTGTCCATTTTCTTATGTTATACAGGTATGTTACTATTAAAAATAATCAAATTATTTTTCATTTGGAACATTTAGATAATGTATTACTTAGCTATCTATCATCTATTTTTTACTTGGTTCAGTATATGTTCTTTCATCTCTTGATTGTGTATGTTTCTAATTTTCACTCAAGGGAATTTAAATATTTGCAAACTGCATTTTTTTTTTTGTCTACCTTTTTATCACTAACTACATTTCAGAGATTTTTTCAGTTTTGGAACATACAGTTGGTTCCTTTAGTTATAAGATTTAAATTTCGGATACAATTCTATTTGTTTTCCTCTCTCCATCTTTCCTAAATTTTTCTGAACCATATTAATCTTAGGTGTTTAAAGTATTTGTTGGTTAATACCAGCATTTGGATCTGGAGCTTTTTCTATTGTCTACTTTTTCTCTTGGTTTCCAGGCATGAAGTCTTGTCTTTTGGTAAGACTAGTAAATATTTATCAAATGCCAGATATTATGTCTAAAAAATGAAAGGGCTTCCAGATGGCATTTTCTTCTAGAAAGGGTCACCCTCTTTTTCTAGGCAGGCACTGGTGGGCGATAACCAATCAGAAGCTGGCGGAGTTGGCTCAGTCTACTCTGTTCCCCTAGGTTCCCAGAGATTTCAACTGAGTGCTGGAGCTTTCTCTGAGGTCTCTGCTCCTGGAAGGTCCCAAATTCAAATCTTTGTTTGAGGAAAAACTCCACTCTGCTTTTCAGAGGTCTTTTGCTTAGGTTTTTAAATCCATTGCCCTGTATAGCCCCAGTATTTTGTCAATGTCCTTAGAAGACCATCTGTATGCTTGATGCCCTCCAAATGTCCGCCAAAATCTGTTGGCTTCTCTGTTCTAGGAAAGCCTTGATTTTCAGTCTCCTGTCTGCACAGAGTTGGGAAATACCCTGAGATATAAGTGGTGATAGGTGAGCTCACCACTCTCAGGCTCTTCCCTCTCTGGAGTCTTAACCTCTCTGATTCTGGTTGCCACAGTAGCTGTCTGCTGCCTTCAAACAGATGCTTTCTGAATTCATCCAGCTTTTCTAGGTGCTCTAAGCAGAAGCACTGCTCTGCAACTGGCTACTCCATTCTGCCCAGAAGTCCTTTATTTCTTACTTAGAATGTTTAAGACTGTACAGAGTTTTCAATTTTTAAGACCTGTATCAGGAACCCATTCCAAATTATATTTTGCATCTACATCTAAATAAACTTAGGTTATCATGAGAGTCAAATGCCCGCTTAAAGTTCCCAGAAATAGTGTGTATTTTACTACTGTACCTCGGTAGTCCTTTATCTTGATCTCATAATTATGGTCATCTTAGCCCAAGGACTTTACCACTGTCATATGATAAGTTCCTTCTTATTGATAAAAATTAAAGCCCACATGATAATTAACTTTATTGATTTAGCAACATGCTGAGATAATTGTTGGTAAAGCAAGTAAAAAATATATTTTTTATTCTCATCATATCTTTTGGACCATTAGACTTTTAAATAAACATTATTGTTGAAATGTGGTGACCAGTTTGGTTGGTAAGAAGGCAGACCAGCTGACATATTCAGCTGAGTGTTCTGCTCCTGATTGGTTTGCAGTGGCTCATATTTTTAAGCTCGAAATTGAATATTTTCCTCCAAAAGATTGTAAGCTCTTTGAGAGAAAAGTTTGCTTATTCATATTTGTGTTCTTCATAAAAAATAGAAATGTATCAACATGAAATATGTAAATAAATGTTTTCTTTGGTTTCTGAAAAAAATTTCAGTTCATTTAAAAATCATTAAGATCAGAGAAACTGATTCGGGTCCAAGTTCTGGCAGATATCTTGATAAAAGAAGCAATTTATTAATTTATAGCAGTCAATACCAAGAATGCTATTTGGGATACAGCCTTCCTGTTATCAAAATATTTGGAAAGCAAGACATAAGAAAACCATTTATTGTGCATGACTCTAAGCAAAAAATGAGTAATTTAGTGACTATTTAGATTAGATTGTGGCAAAATTGCCCATGCCCTTCATAAACTAAAATAATACTGTGTTTACTACCTGGATCTCAGACAAATTATTTAATATTCTTGAGTGGCTGAAATACTTAAGTCTGCCAAATACATGATCACTTTTCTTAGATCCTACTAGCTAGACATTAACAAATTCTACTAGAGCTCTCCCTTCAACCTCACTCGGAAAACCATACCCTTCCGGTTATAGTTGTCATTGGCATACTGCAATTTCAAAGTTTGTATTAAATTATAGAACATATTACATTGCATTTTGGTGGATAGTTTTTTAATAATATATAAGAACTAGCTTTATAGTATAGGTAAAAATATAATTTAGGGTGAATCCCATTATAATCTGATATCTTTCATAATTTATTGTATTTTGTTAATCATAGTGGCAGAATATATTATCTTATTATTAGATCCCCAGATTCATGGAAGAAATCTCATTTAAGACCTGCAGTTAAACTTTTTTCCAGTTAATTACCACTTTATATTGTCTAAAATAATGTAAAAATTTAAGCCATGATAGGAGAATCACTTGAGGCCAGGAGTTCAAGACCAGCCTGTTTCTACAAAAAATTAAAAAATTAGCCAGGCATGGTAGCATGTGCCTGTAGTCCCAGCAACACCGGAAGCTAAGGTGAGAGGATTGCTTGAACTCAGGAGTTCAGGGCTGCAATGAACTATGATTGTGCCTCTGTACTCCAGGCTGGGCAACAGAGCGAGACTCCTGTCCCCTCAAAAATGAAAAACAAATATATACACACATATATATGAAACTGTGCGATATTAATATTATTTAAAATAATGCAATAATTTAAAAATGAAATGACCGATAGCTAAAATATCCTGTAAGTATTTATGATACTGTCAATCACTGTTTTCAATGATAGAAATTCAAGGATTTATTTAGAAAGGTTGGTCATCAAAGCAAAAAACAAAGCAAAACATTGCTTTGCCAAATACATGTCCCTATACTTTTTTAATGTTTGTACAGAAATAAAGCACACAGTCTTACTCTTTGCTCCTCTTATCCTTCTGCCTCCGGTTGAATCTCCCCTTGTTTAAAACCATTATGTTTAAGCCAGTCAGTCATAATATATGAAAGTTGGGAAGTGAAGTCTTTGAATTTAGATAGTGTGCTTCTGGCACATGATAGATTTATGAATATAGAGCTATAGATATACATTTCAGTTCTCACAAAGTGAAGAAACTTGAGAAACTGAAAGAAATTTAAAATAGTTGTAATAGACACGATGAGATTGTTTAAAGAAGAAAATAGAGGTCTAGAACATTGATACTGATATTTTGACATCTTCTAATGAATGTAAAATAAAAGATAGAGTACACCTTAAAATGTATGCATTTAAAAAATCTTGACTTCAAAAATTCTGGATTCCCATGCTCATTAAATCACTCTTCAGACTCAGGAAATAACCAGACCCTAAGTGGGAATACAAACACTACCTGGATCTTGAAGAACTTGGGACCAGGTATCTGAACATAGGATGTGTGTTTGGAGAGCCTAACTGTGCCTCTGCAAAAGATACTCAGACTTGTTTGGCTATCAGGACCATACTCTGCTTTGGCAGTGATAAAGTGTTTGCTCCCTAAAATAGTTGTATGCAAAAAAATTTGTTTCTCTTAGGAAAGAAACTCCATTATATGAATTGTTCATTTAACAGGCAAAAGAGAATGACATATTAAATGAGAAGAATGAAGTGAACATGATGAAGAACACTATGGAAGACTGGAAGGCAGTAAGGGAAGAGCTTAGCCTCCTTTGGGTGGCATGGCGACTTAAAGCCACTGAAAGCAAGCCCGTGAAACAGCGGTGGGGAGCGTTCACAGAGCAGCTAAAAAAGGTAACATGAATGAACCTTGAAAACATTATGCTAACAGACACCATGATTCCATCTGTATGAGGTACCTGTAGTCAAATTCCTAGAGACAGCAGAGTAGAGGTAACCAGGGGCTAGAGGAGGGAGCACGTGGGGAAGGAGGGAATGGAGAACTGTTGTTGAATGTTTGGGATGATGAAAAGGTTTGAGACCCACCTGGGCAACTTGGTGAGACATCATCTCTACAACAAATCAAAAATAAGCCGGGTGTGGTAGTGCTTGCCTGCAATTCCAGCTACTCGGAAGGCTGAGGCGGAAGGATCGCTGGAGCCCAGCAGGTCGAGGCTGCAGAGGCCGGGAGCAGCCACTGCACTCCAGTCTGGGCGACAGAGTGAGACTCCAACTCAAAAGGAAAAAAGAAAAAGAAAAGGTTCTAGAGACGAATGGTGATTGATGATGGTAATGGCACACCAGTGTGAATATATTAATGCTTCTGAACTGTACATTTAAAACAGAGTAGAAGTGGTAAATTTTTGCAATGTATATTTTGCCACAACAAAACTAAAAAAGGTAAGGGAAGCCAAGGGCCTGTACTTTTGTTCTTTTGTGATTTAGAACCATGAGCTCACTTGAGGTGAGACACTCATGTTTTAACAAAACACTCATGTTTTCATGGGAGTTGAAAAGTTTGATGAAACTGTACGTCATGACTTGAAAGATCATAGCATATTTGCTGGGGGTGTCAGAAAAAACAACATGCATAACTATTCAATGTTTATTTCAGACTACTCACAACTTAAAACTTCTTCAGGAAGTACTTATGCCTGTGTCTGCACTTGACCTTGGAGGAAACCTCCAGACCATTTTAGATCTACGAAAAAAGTGGAATGAAATGAAACCTCAGTTCCAGGTGAAGACATCCATTGATGGATTTGGGTGAATGGGAAAAAATTCAAAAACTGTTTGGTTGCAGTTTACCTAACTAATTTTAACTGGCTGGTGAATCTTCATTTTTTTTTAAAACAAAACCACTGCTTGTCTAAAAATCCACGTTAAAAACTCATTTTCCTTACTGTTTTCCTGCACCCCTCTGTATGTGGTGATAGATAGCCATTCAGGCTACAAAATGCCCTAAATATATTTTTGTTTTAGATTATTTTAGTTTACATTGCCAGACTAGGCACAGTGGCTCACATCTGTGCACTTTGAGAGGCCAAGGAAGGATTACTTGAGCCGAGGAGTTTGAGACCAGCCTAGGTAACATAGTGTGACCTCATTTCTACAAAAAAATAAAAAATAAAATAACTGGGCATGGTAGTGTATGCTTGTAGTCCCAGCTCCTGGGGAGGCTGAGGCAGAAGGATCGCCTGAGTCCAGGCAGTCAAGACTGTGGTGAACTGTGATCTTGCCACTGCACTCCAGTCTAGGAGACAGAATGAGGTCCTGACTCAGAAACAAAAAAATTTTATGTTACTTATTAAACTATAAATGTATTTATCATATATATTCATGCTAATCCTTTTCCTGGGGAGTATGGAATTATTTGAAATTGAAACACAGCAGAACAAGGATCTGCCCTAGGTTCCTGAGGTGACCACTGTGATGTCACTATCTCCACCACCAAGCTTCTACTGCCATCTCAGGAACTTTGCTGTGTTATCCATTCCCCCCTCAGAAAACTCTTGGGATATGAGAAATGAAACCATGAATCATGTTCCTGGCCCCTGACTGATTAAAGCATTCACTATTTCCCCATCTTCTGACTCTCTTAAACTTGATACATCTGCCAAAGATTGTCATTTGCTAGTTCCCCTGCCTGGATGCCTGTTCTTTGCTGCAAATTTAAGATATTCATGTTTCTGTCTTTCACTGCTTCATAAGTGTGGGCTTTAAAGTATCCCCAAATCAGAAGATTGAAGATTCCTTCAGGGAATGTCTAATTGTAGGTTCCATGCGGACCAAACTGTAATTTAATAACCACTCCTGCTATACACACACACACACACACACACACACACACACACACACACACATGCACGCATGCGCGCGCGCACACACACACACACACACACACACACACACACACACACACACACACTATTGTAACACATCAAAAACACTTTTGGGCCAGGCTCGGTGGCTCAGCCTATAATCCCAGCACTTTGGAAGGCCGAGACGAGTGGATTGCCTGAGTCCCGGGGTTCTAGATCAGCCTGGGCAACTTGGTGAGACCTCCTCTCTACAATAAATAAAAAATTAGCTGGGCGTGGTAGTGCATGCCTGTAGTTCCGGCTCTTTGGAAGGTTGAGGTGGAAGTTTCACCAGAGCCCAGCAGGTTGACACTGGGATGGCTGTGAGTGTGCCACTGCACTCCAGCCTGGGCGACAGAGTGAGACTTCAACTCAAAAAAAAAAAAACATTTTAGGCAAAGCTCTCAGCAAACATGACTGACCTACATTAGATTCTTTGGTATACCCTGTGTTATATGCTTATTTGCATTTCTTTTGTGCACACCTGTTTGCATGTACGAGGAGGGATCCAAAATAACCCAGAATTGTCTTTTGGAGGCTGGGCTTCCTGTAGTTCCTTCTAGGAGCCAATTGGCATCAGCGTACCAGCCAGCATTGTTGTGAGAGGCTGCGTTTGGCTTCAGTGAAATTTTTTTTGGAGATTCTTTCAACACATTTGCCCATTTCATGATGGATGATTTACATAAACAACCTGCCCACACCATGCTGAGTGTTCAGCAGTTTTTGAAACAGTATGACCCACCCTCCTTATTCACTCAATCTCACCTGAGCGACTTTTTATTTTTTCCCTGGATGAAAAAAAGTCCTCAAAGGGAAAATTTGCTGATGTGAAGGAAGTGAAACAAAAAATGGCAGAAGCACTAAAGGGCATCAAAATTAACAAGTCCAAAAACTGTTTTGAGCAGTGGGAAAAAAAATGTTTTGATAGGTGTATTGCATCAAACGGAAAGTACTTTGAAGTTGACTGAAGTTTAAATATGTAAGAATAAATACACAATTCTTTATAAATAAATTCCAGTGTTGTTTGGGTCCCTCCTCATATGTGTACGTTCTTCTAAATTGGGATGCTATCACCACGCTTATTTTAGCCCTGTCACTGTGATGTGCATATATCTGACGCCCACATGCTCAATTTGAACTTGAAGATCCTTTTTGGGTCACTCTTCTGAAAATTATCTCCTTAGTCTGAATCATTTCCACTACTTTTATATCTGATGCAAGATCCATCCCTGAAGTTATAGTAGCATCTTCTTTATACTGTGGACACTTTGCAGATTCAACTCTAGAATCTGGGTTAGCATAAGGGATATCTGAGCAGTGCTAGGAAAAGGGACGGCAGTTTACCCCTCCATGCATGTGGTAGCTATTGTGGATCATGGGATGATGGCTTTTGAAGTTGCATATCTATTCTGCTGTCTAGCTGGTGGTTTATTCTAGTCATTCTTTTATCACAGAGCACAAGTAATTCCCCTGATACATTTTTACACTCATCTTCTTTTTGTGTTTTTACCATACCACCTGATCCTAGTCTGTATTAAATATGAGAGATGATCATGGGGCTTTATAAAATATCTAAAATGTTTAAAATTTATAAAATATCTAAAATGCCACAGTGACTCACAAAAAAACCTGTAATCCCAGCACTGTGGGCGACTGAGGCAGGAAGATCTATTCAGGCCAGGATTTCGAGACCAGCCTGGGCAACATAGCAAGACCTCGTCTCTACAAAAAATAAAAATAATACCCAGGCATAGTGTTGCATGCCATAGTTCCTCCTACTTGGGAGGCAGAGGTGGAAGTTTTGCCTGAGCCTGGGAGGTCGAGGCTGTGGTGAGCTGTGATCGTGCTACTTCACTCCTGCCTGGGTGACAGAGTGAGACTCTGACTCAAAATAAAATAAAGTAAAATAAAACAAAATAACAGGTGACTAGAATATTTGGTGTGCCATAGTACTGCCTAACTTTGTCTCAACAGCTAGCTTTGAAATCCCTTTTTTGCATTCCTTGTATTTTTCTTTTAATTTCTGAGAAAATGAGGATGGAACAATATATCCCTAACATAACACAAGGCCCAAATTTGAGGAGGAGGGCTCAAAATAAGTATTTGCTAAAAAATGAGAAAATGATTCATTAGTTAGACCTTCATATGGTCAGTTACAAAGTAAAAATGCTCTCTAAAAGTTGGATTTCTTGTGTTGTCTTCAATGTTCTAGCAACTGAATGATGAGGTTCAGTTCATTATGAAAGAATCAGAAGAGTTAAGTGGCAAAGGAGCCCCTGTGAAAGAGAAGTCTCAACAACTGAAGGACCTTACTCACCTCCATCAAAAACAGAAAGAGAGAATCCAAGATTACGAGGATATCCTGTACAAGGTAGTCAAGTTCCACCAAGTCAAGGAAGAGGTAAGGATTAGAATGATGTCTGAAAGATCCCGCGTTTATTAAAAATTAATTATTGTATAATAAATAAATGTTAAGTTACTTATTCTGAAATTAGAAGCTTACACAATCTGGACCCTAACTCATCTCTTACTATGTCCCAATCTTTCCTTATATTCCAGCCAAATTGATCTGACACATTCTTAACCCCAAGCTTTGGTTCTCAGGCTACCACTATCTGACAGGTCTTTCTCCTCCCTATTATTCATTCCCTGTACTTCTTTCCAACAATTCTGCCTCATTTGAAGTGATTTCTCTCTCTTCTAAAATCTCAGACTGCTCATTGTTTATTCCACACATCTTGCATATTTAGTATCTTGATGCTTAGTTACTTTTTGGTAAATGCAGCTCCCCTCCTCCAATTCAAGTGTAAGCTCTATGAGGGCAGAAATGAAGTTTAATTTTTTTTTTTTTTTTTGTATCTCAAGTACCTGACATCATGGAGTGCTTAGTAAATATTTACTTGTTGGTGACTTTTTTTTTTTTTTTTAACAAAAATGTTATCGTTATTAGCCTCAACACAAAATGGAGGTGTGTTGATATTCCTTTAAAATAGCCTCTGAATTCACCCAGATCACAGGCCTAGATATCCCATTGAGATTTTTGGTTATGACCAAAAAGAGCATTTCCTTTTTTAATAGAATTGATAACAGTAGCTGCTCAATTATCACCCATTGAATTTGCAGCATTCTAACATTTATTTGGCAATAACGCCAGTAAGTAGGGATGGACTTGGCAGCATTTTAACCAGCTAGTAAAATATGTTATAGAAAATAGGCTTAAAAACAATCTGTCTTTATGTAAAACCCAGGCTAATTGTTAATGCCCTAAATTCCAGGTGGAACATCTCATCAAATCAAGAGAACTGGAGTTGCTAGAGCAACTGGATGATGCTCGTGATGCCCAGACTTGCCTCAGACGCTCTCGGGAAAAGCAGGCTCATGTAGACCATCTCTGTAAGCTGGCTCTTTCATTAGGAATGGAGATCATCTCATCGGTGCAGCGGCCAGTAAGCATCTTAGGGCACTATCATTTATACTTAATTCTAGTGGGGCTTGAGCTATAACATGAAAGAAATCAAGCAGATTGCATAGTATATGTTAAAATAAAAATACAGCAAGCCATTGAATGTAGTTATTTGTGGTGTGTTTCTACCATGACAAAAGAAAAAAATTTAAGTAAGAACTCTGAATATAAAAGTTTTGTTTATATACCTATTGTTATACTAATTTTTTAAAAGAGTATTTATATTATAGAGCTGTGTAGACCAATATGGTAGTCAGTTTTTGTATTTGAAATGTGGCTAATGCAGCTAAAGAACTAAACTTTAAATTTTATTTAATTTAAAAGCTGATTCTCAATATAGCTATTGGAAAATATTCAAGTATATTGGGAGCAGCTTGGATATATGAGTCAACTTTTGAAACTGTAAATTTCATGAAATTTAAATACAGATAAAATAGTTTTTATAGAAATTTAACAATAATTGCGATATGCTCAAAGTAAGAAATACACACCAGATTCCAAACACTTACTATGGGAAAAACTTGTATTAATATTTTTAATATTGGTTGCATTTTAAAATGGTGATATTTGCACATATTTAATTAAATAAACTATATTATAAACATTAATTTCACCTTTTTTTTACTTTTTGATGTGACTTAAAATTTTTAAAGTTATTTGTGTGGTTCGCATTATATTTCTGTTGGACAATGCTGCTTTAGCATTGAGATCTAGAAGACCACCTAGATCTTAGAGCTCCTCCCAGTCAGAGCCCTGATTGTATAGATGAATTTGAGGCCCGAGAAGTCGCCTTTCTTAGCCATAAAAGCCCAGAAAGAAAGAGCCCAAGCCTCCTGGATCTAGACAGGGTTCTGGGATCTGCCTTATGCCACTGGATAGACTTTCAAAGAGAAACCTAAAAGAGATTTCCAGGTCAAATTTTCATAAAGAATACACTGGGCACTGATGTTAAAAAAATCTCTCTCCAAATTCCTAATCTGAGAGGAGAAAATATTGTGTTTATTTTGTCAATATGTATAATAAAATCATAATGACTAATTTTATTTTAAAGTACATTTCAGATATCTACTTAAGTATAAGAAACGCAATAAACCTAAAACATATGTTTTAAAACAGACAAAATTATCTGTTGCTGTTAATATAATCTTTTTTTTTTTTTGGCTAGGAAAGAGCTTTCTTTTTAAAGAGTTTTGTTTTATTAGTAAATTGATTTTAAAGAGAAAAAAGAAAGTAGGAAGTCTCACTTTGTACCCATAATGTAAATTGTTCTCCAACGCTCCTCTGGCTTCGGCACCAGCAGCCCCTCCATGCCGAGTAGAGATTTGAGCACTTGCATAATGATCGTGAGGTTAAGCTCAAGTTGACAGGAAAATTATAGTGCAGAAGTCAAATGTTTCTAATGCATATTTTATGCCTTTTGAAGTAAAAATTATACCTTATAATGAATGGTGTCTCTGAGGAATTGGGTGTGATGAACAAATCTTCAAAACTAGAGACTCGAGATTGGAAATGTCTTTTTCATAATGTTGGGTGTCTGGCTTCTTTCTGAAATACTGACATTCAAACGTGTTTAAGGTAAAATAAATTAGGAGCCTATTTCTGCTTTTAAAAAGTGTCATTTGTGAGTTGTACAGTGCAGGTAAATAGCCTGTTTTGTCCATTCCCTTTGTTTCTTCCATCTGTCTTTCATTTTTAGAACTGCGCTAATGTTTCTGCAAAGAACCTACAGCTGCAGCTGGAGATTCTTGAGGAGGACAGCAGGCACTGGCGTGCCAAGGCTGAGGAGTACGAAAGGACCCTGTCCCGCAGCTTGGAGCACTGCACCGTGAGAGATGAGATCAACGAGGTGGGGTTGGGTGGCCGTGAGAACACATTGATTGCCAAAAGCTGTTTGGACTTCAAGCATGTGTCTCAATGTCCCTACATTTGTGTGCATACACACACACACACACACACACACACACAATGAATCAGGAGACTTTCTCCTTGCCCAGGTCCTATAATCCACCCAGCAATGACCTCAGGATTCTGAAAGTTTTAGTAAACTTCAATTCCTAAACTTGTTTAAGTTAGCATGTTGTCAATTCATAGAAAAGCCTAGGATCTAGCATTATGGGGGTTTTAAAAGTTGCTTTTGTTTGTTTTTTGCTCCTGCCCCCCTCCCCAAACATATATAGCAGTCATTTGCTTGAGTGGATACAGCTTTTTCGGGGCACAGAGGGGGTGCAGTGACCATTGGCAGTCAACTCCAGCGTGCTGAGATTCTATTTAAGTATCTTTGACTCATGGTGAAGGGGGTGCTAAGGGCTTGGGAGCAGGCGCTTTGCTTCAGAGGCTGCCAAGTATTATCACTAAAGCCAAGTGGCTGGTTTCATATTTACTCAAACGGAGTGGATTTTCTAGCAAAACAACTCTTAGGGAAAAAAGAAATAATAGATAAAAGTGATCCTCCACACTTCTGCACCCTCACATGCACAATTCCACCCCCTCCCTCTCAACTGTAACCAACCCACAAGCCCCAGATACTCACTGAATCATAGCTACCACCCACCCCTTCCTAAACTTTCCATTTCATGACTTGTTCCGGGAGGGAAATAAAAGCACAGATTGGGATAGCTTTAGGGGTCCAGCCCCTTTTGCCAGGTCGTGAGATCTCCTGAAGGAGAGACGGATAGGCGAAAGACGGACGCAATATTCCCGGACACCTGCTTCCTGAGCAGATGACATCCTTTGTTAGTTAACAGAAAGCTTTTATAGCATTTGTAAAAGGGGCAAGACAAAGAAAATTCCTTCATGTACATATGTTTTAAAAGTTACCACCATCTAGCGGTCTTTAGAAGAAACGAATAAGCCAAAAACAGTATCTACTTTCAGTTAATGAGTCTTGAGATAAGTGTAAAAGGAGTTTCACTTAAACTAAACATAATGCATACAAGGTTTACTTTGATTTCAGTTCCACATCACTAGTCTAATTAAAAAGGCCATAAATTCACTAAAACAAACTATAGACTGTACCTAGTGATAGCAGGAATATGAAGCCCATTAACTTGACCAAACAACAGTGGCTAGCTTTTAAAGAATAACTATGAAGGTCACTTGCTGTGAAAATACATACACTAATCATTACTTTGGATAAACATATAAAGTGAATGAAACAATGAATTAAAACTAACACAACTAAAATTATTATGGTTGCATAATTGCCAATGAGCTTTTAAGTTTAGGATAATGGTGATTTGGCTGTTTTCCCTTATGCTTGGCAACCTCCTGGAAAACATCTTTGTCTTAAGATAGGCAGTGGAGCAATTATTATTATCTTTGAGGCACCAATTTTATCATTGTGTGAACTTAAACTTACGAACTTAAAACAATCTTCAAAGTAGCTATAGCACTAAAACTTAATGACACAAAGTAAAAACCTTGTTAAACATAACCAGAGCCTAATAATTTTTGTCAACCCTCATACATATGAATATTGATTATATAAACTTGTATGATATTACATTTACCAATTATGAGTAATACATGGATAAAACAATTATCATGTCTAGAATAGCACTGCCAGCAACTCTCTTCAAAAGAGTCCCAAATTACAGTCCTTGAAGTGCTTCAAGAAAGTTCCCAGGTGCACGGTTCTTCATGTAGCAGTTCTCTTTGGGGCTTTTACGACCTTCAAAGCTTTTGCAATCACCTTTCTTGTCCAGGTGTCTTCGTTACTTTTCTCTTATCATGCAGTGTTTATTTCTAAAGAAAACTCAAGAGAAGCTTTTAATGACATTTCCCAGGCCCCCAAGGTTGCTTTCTGTATTTAGTTAATTATCATAAAAGTATCTAATTAGTATATCATGAATTCAGTGAAAATCCACTCTATAAATGTTTACTTAAAATTTAACTTAAAATGTTTACTTAAAATGTTTTATGAAGTAAAAACCTTAACGATTAATCTTTTATCCTAAGTCTGTGAAGACAGTGTTATAAATCACCTACAAAACTCCTAGATAAGTGTTAGAACTTATAATGAGCTCATAATGAACTTACCATAAACTTGTGCTTCTAAAAAACCTTATGTCTGACCACTAAACTGCATAATTCTCAATCAAATAAGGAGTGAATATACTTATATCATTTTTTACTCAAGCAATATCTAGTAACTTATAACCAAGTGAAAGAAAGCATTCTTGATGTGCTTCAGAGTGTAACCCTTGCATATGTTAGAAAAGGCCAAGCGGCATAGTGGGAAAATGGGAAAATGAGCCATGACATTCTCAGGTTAGGTGTGAGTACTTCACATAAACATGCCATTTTCTTCTTCCACGACTGCACAGAATTTCTTCAGCCATATCAAACAGCAAAGGTGGAAGACAGAAGGGCCTCAGCTTCCCGGGCTCGCCCTGCGGCCCGGGGTCTTCGGCCCACCGGGACCCTGTCAATCATGTGGACCTCCAAGGCTGGCTCCCAATAGATAGCAAAGGTTCTGATTCTCGACTAGGAATTGATAACAGGGTACCCATAATTCTAGATGTATCTTTATTTAGGGCTAAAAGTTCAAGTTATAATTTCATTAGAAAAGGGGATGGGAAAAGGGGGGTGGCAAACCTTCTTGAACTTTCTGTTTATGCCCAGTTTGCATAAGCTAGGCTCAGCAAGTATCAGATGTTATGTTATCCAACAACATTCAAGCATGGACCAAAGTATAAGTAACTAAGCTTGAATGGTGGTCTGGCTCTGCAGTGCCTGTTCCTGCAGACCACACTTTTACAGACCACAAGCAGGTGCAGGAGGGAGCACAGTGGAAGGAAATGAGAGTGGAAGAGGGCAGGAGTTGCCACTTGGATCCCGTTCAACAGCAGGGAGGCAGGAACTGACATCTGATAAGGAGGTGCACTTGAGCAGTGTACTACAGGACTGGAGAACTTCTGCTCGTAGTTGGCATTCCAGGGAGTCACTTTAGGCTGAAGACTTGTTGACTCATTGAAGGTTGAGCTCACAGTATAGGCTGCCCCCTACATGGTAGACTGGACGCTTCTGTCTTGCACAACAGTGTACACTTCTGTCAGATCTTTTTTAAGGGAAGCAGTTAGAGAACATCTGTTTTTCCAAGGCTACAAAATTTGAATTTGTGGCCATGGAAAGAATTTTTTTAGTCTTTCCCCCAAATTGTCTTTTTTCTTCTTCTTCCCCTCTTCATTTCTTCCCTTCTCCTCCCCTATTTCTCTTCCATCCCCTTCTTTACTTTCTCCTCCTCCTCCTTCTATTTGTATACTTTTTTCTTGCCAAAATTCACCCTTGTTGCAGTGACGGTTTGGTTCTGCAGACTGAGACTGGAGCAGGCTGAGGATTAGACCCAGCCCCCTCTGGCTGGGTTTTCATCTCCATGAAGAGCTGTGGCATTTATAAAGCTGGGTCTCCCTGTTCAGGCCCTTCCAGCAGGGGTTCTATTTACAGGAATGGCCTTATGATGATGAGGCTGTGCCTGGAGCCAGCAGGCCAGGGTAACAGATGTCCCTTCCTGTCATAGTGGGGACGCACCAGGATTGTCTGTACTGTGTCAGAAATGAGCAACCAGATACATGTGGGTTTGATTTTGGAATCAGATATCACTTTAGCATGCTCTTAAATTTTAAGAGAGATATTCTTCCCATTGGCTTTTACTTCAAATCCAATTAATTTTTGATGTAAGTTTCAGTCTCACATTTAAAGGACCTTTGAAAATCTTGGGTTCTTTTTGCCTTTCCTTTTTTTTTAAAATAGAGATATAGTAGGCATCGCAGTCTAGCATGCACACCCTGGACTTTCTGACCACAAGTCTAATGGGAAGATAATCAGAAGGAATATATTCAGTGCCCCGTATTAAATAAAGATATGTGTGCTATAGTTTAAATTGTTAATATCAAAACACAAACACATAGCCAATTTCCCCAGTAGTAATAATATTTGATACATCGACATTATTATTATTATTATTATATTAGGCTTTGGGTATATTTAAAATACTATATAAAATTAAATAGATATGTTACAATATTTTTTGCATAAAAAATTAGATACTCTAGAAGAAAACTAGTCTAACCATAGCATTTGATTTTTTTAAGTTGATTTTAAAACAGTTTTGTTTCCAATGTGTCTACAGTGCTTCTAGAAAGTTCACAGACTCTGACGTGCAGTCAATTTTGGAAAGTGTGTGGTTTAACATCTTCATTTTACAGATGAGAAAACTGAAGTGCCTGTGATTTTCATTTTAACAATATGCTAGAGGACAACAGAGTTTCTGCTCATAGTGATCCAGGGAGTCAACTTTAGGTCAGACCTCCTTTGTTGGGCACCAACATGCTTGTCATTTACTAAACTCAGAATTTACCATTCACATCATGTTTTAGTCCCTTTCAGCCACTGCATGGTCTGATGTTAAATGTATCTTTTTTCTATGCTTTCCTCTTGTATTCCTATTTTCTGGCATATCTGTTATAAGAGGTTTGTATGATCTGATATAATAGCACAGTTTATTTGGTTATTTCAACAAAAATTCCTTTATTTGGTTGTGCTGTAGCTAACTTACATGGTCCTCACTACTCTGACAGTCCTTAAAAAGAACTTGATACCTCAAGGCAAAATAAAGTACTCCAAATGTAATTTATTATTTTTTCTTTATTTTATTTTTCTCACTCTGTTTCCTAGGTTGAACTGTGGTGACAAGATCACAGCTCACCACAGTCTCAAACTTCTGGTCTCAGATGATTTTCTTACTTCAGCCTCCTGAGTAACTGAGACTATAGACGCATGCTACCACAACCAGTCTCTGTTGCCCAGGCTGCTCCTGGGCTCAAGCAGTCCTCTCACTTCAGCCTC